AGAGATGCTCTTGTTATTCCCAATAAGACGACTCGGTAACAGATCGCTTCTTCCAAAGCGCGCCCCATTCGTTCTGCTCGCAACAATCCAATAAGTTCTCCGGGTGAAAAAACATTAGACATTCCATCTTCTGAAACCAACACTTTTGATGTTATTTGACGTACAATAATTTCTAGATGCCTATTATGAATCTGCACCCCCTGGGAGCGATAAACCTGTTGGATTTTATTAACCAAAGAGATTCGGCTTTGCGCTATAGTTAGCTCAGCACCAATCAAGAATCCCCAAGGAATTCCAAGAATTCTTGTTATACATTTGTTCCAACCCTCAATCCTCTTTTCTAGATTCATGGATATTGAATCAACCGAACGCACTTCTAACACCTGTTCTACTTTTGGAAGACCTTGTGTTATATCACCAGATCTCGATTTTTCATATATAAATGTAACTAATGTATCTCCTTCGTAAAGGGTTTCCCCATAATGGCCATGAACAGTTGCTCCGGGGGTGGCCAAATAAGGCTTAGCTGATCGTATCACTATCGAATCAACTTGAACAAGTATAACTTGACCCGATTTGAGGGGCGGTCCATTTTTGGCTATACATACATTTTCACAAATAAACTGTCCAAGACTAATTATTTTAGATGTCTCTTCACAATAATTGTGATGGAGAAAATACCAATTCAAATTGAATGGATTTAAAATAATGTTACGACACGGATCGGGATTAAAAATTTTTCCATTTTCATCCATTAAATAATATTTAAATTTAATCACTTGAAAAGTCTGTTTTAAATTGTCAAGTTGCAAATAGTTAGTTACTAAGATCTGATTATGAGTTATTAAATGGTAAGATGAATAAAAATTCTCAATTGGAAGGGATGTTCCTAAAGGGCCCAATGAATTCCTAATTGGAATTAGGGGATCTTTTTTAATTGATTTTTTTATCACACTGTGATATTTTACATCCTTGAATGGCCCCATTCGAGAACAATTGGCTGCTGACAAAATTATCAACGACTGACATTCCTTATTTCTATTTAACAACGTATGAATAGTTCCTTGAGGTTGGTTAATAGATTGTTGAATTTTTGCCTTGGAATAGGAATAAATGGAAGAAAAGGGGTTGATATTGGTACAATCTGATCCATTATCAGAGAGCAATCCTGACCCCGACGGATCATTCCTTTTTCCGATATACGAAATAGGGGATTTCACTAAGTTGATTCTTAGGAAATGTCGAATCAAACCATTTGTCCTTATTTCAACAAAAGAAGCACGGGCTTCTTCGCAAGAAGAACTTTTTTTGTCTTGGTTCCAATTTAATACTAAACAAGTCCGAACTAATTGAATACTTGTGTCAGAAATTCCTCGAATCGGTTTGCCATTTCCATAAAGGATATAATTGACAATTCGAAGTTGCACATTATCCCTTTCCTGCAATGGATCCGGTGGAAAAAGGGTTGCTAAATTTATACCGTCCGTTATTTCATATGTGACGACAGGTCGAACTAAAACAAAAAACTTTTTCTTGCTAGGTGTAATCCGTTGGACATAGATCCAATTTTTCACTTTTTTGGATTCCTTGGAATTTCTTTTTCCTGTTCCTGGTGGTATCAAAACGCCGGTATGTCGGGATATCTTATCTGTCTCTCCAGGAAAATGGATATCTCCAGAAAAGATTTTAAGTTCAATTCGTTTTTTTTTTCTCTCCACCCGGACCAACCCACCGACTCGGCTTCTTAGATTTAAGGTGATTTGTGTATCTACCCCAACGATACTATTGTTCCGTACCATTATGGAAGAAGATCCGGGCAAGATATGCACCTCTTCAGGAATGAAAAAAAATCGATCTACTTTCATTTGGTATTTTGGCCTAAATTCCTTGACTCCTCGATACTCAAGCAAATCCTCTTTTTTGATGACTGAATGCGTTTCTACAGTCCCATATTTAATAATGCCCGAACTCTTTCTTCTGTATCGAGGATCATCGAAATAAGCAAGAATACTATTTCGACGGAAAATACCATTTACGGGGATTTCAATCGAGATACCTGAACAGGGCATTAGTTCATTCTCGAGTTCTTGAATCGAGTGTAGTGGAATGATGAATTTATTTCTTCGCCTTTTTGACAATAAATCAGAATTCTCGTGGAGAATAGGCGAATATACGAGATTATACTGACCAGCACATATAATTCGATTAAGGTCTGAATAATCAGGAATCCTATCTTCTTTTTTACCAGAAAAATCCGAACTAAATAATTTCTGCCTCGCCTGATCGTTGGTTACTGAGAGGTTAGAAGTATATCTTCGCTTGCCAGAAAGAAAATGCGCATTCATTTGATCCTGATCCTTGTGGATCGAAAGGTAGACTAGACTGGACCTGCACGGCCTTCCTAATAATATCCATAAATGGCTTGTTTTTGGTAATAGATGAACATTACCGTATGTAAATTCGGGTGCATGATAGACATCGGTACTCCAGTGCATTTCTC